CCAATCTGCCATCCTCGGCATTCTTCTTCATCCTAGCTTCAATGACTTTCCATTTGAAACCCCCATTAGCTATTCTGCATTGACTGATTTGTCCCAAGCCTAATAACTTTACCACCTCTGTAGCTGTGCCTTCAAAATTTCGTCTGAGGTAAATGTTGTGGCTGTTATTTGGAAAATCTAGGATCCTCTCATATTCCTCTAAGGTAGGTGTCATATCTATGTTTCCAAAAGTGAAACACCGATAACTAGGATCCCAAAAGGTGACTAGGGCTTTGATTGCTGCTGTTTGTAGGGGTAACCTCATTAGGTGCGCAATTCTCCCATATCGCCTTTCAAAAAGAGTATCATCAGCATATCCCATAATGGACAACAACTTCTCCAAGTCATTGATTGTGTGATTTATCTTGGTAATCTCGGGTAATTTACTGCTATTGATTCTTGGACATTTTCCTTCAGCTACCTGAGTTAGCTCGGATTCTTGCCCAAACTTGTGAAAAGATTGATACTCAGTCATGATTTCAGTTCAACCTGCAGTGATGATATTTTTACATGATTAAATGCAAATGACAGCAAAGTAATATATATCCTAAAGTCGAGTTCTAATCAGTATGTGCAACACAAGGTAGGCTTCCTCTATCTAGTCTCAAAAGGGTCTCATATCTGCCCAGTGACGACCTTTGTAAAGGTAGTATGAGGGTGTTACAAAGAACAACTAAAGCACGTATGCCCGCCATTACTAAGCAGGCACTCAGATATGAGTTGGGTGTTTCACGCATCTGAACCCGACCAATAGTCATAGGGCAGATCGCTAATTCCCCACTTAACTTAGAAGTTTGTTTATGTGTTGTCACAAAATTAAAGCATATGATGTCATGAACATATATGTACAAAAAAGAAAGCATGAAAGCATGTAAGACAATAAATACATATTAACCGATAACACACAAATAAGATAACGCAATTATCAGACAACAACCCATGCTTAGTCCACAAGAAAGATCCCGAGTGGAGTTGCCATTCTGTCGCACGTGAGCGGCATCACGGCGATCATCCACCATTCATGCTAATAATGGGATGTGGTGTATTTCTAGTAAGATATGAAGAGACAAGGAATTCTTGTCTCTTATCAGTGAAAACATTGAATGGGAGTCGCCACCTAGTATTCTGGTAACTAGGAACCCTAACTGGTCTTTAGAGATCGGGTACGAAGACTAGTTGCGTAAAGGCAAGGTATTAGCACCCCGACTACGCCCTACTTAAGGTAGGCTGCATTGTTTTGTCTGATAAAATATGAAATCATGTTGTGGTATCTAATTATATGTGTATCTAAAACCAAAGAAACTTTTAAAATCAAGAATACGTGTTACGTATAACCTCATAATCCCTGATACTAAACAAAACAAAAAAATTCTTATTGTTTTTGATATTTTGGCCAATGTTCTCTTGACTTTAATAAATTGGTTATTAAAGCCAAAATGCATGCTAAAATATTGTTTTTGATGTATGAAAAATACAATATGATTTTCTTTTTGTAGCTTTGAGACACTTGGCCGTATGCACAAAAACATTTTTTTTTTGTTGATTTTAATTTTTTTTTAGTTGATAAAAAAAAATCGGGTATTTTTAATACTAAGCAAAAAAGGCATAAATAATAAAAAGAGAAAAATATAAAAATATAAAAAATTAATTTTTTTAAATGGGCCGAACTCGGCCCAGATCAGTGGGTTGGGCCGGACCCGGCCCAAAACTAGATGGGTTGGTTACTGTACAGACAGTGACCCGTGTACAATAACCAGCTAAGTTTTAAAACATTGGGCCGGACTCGGCCCAAATCAGTAACCAGCCCCCCCTCCTTCATTTGCTGTAGAACGTGAATTAATTCACGTTCTGCATGCTAATGCAGACCAAAAAAAAAATAAAGAGACAGGGCAACCGAAGATTACCTGGGATTGGTGTCGGGGTGGTGCTGCTGGTGGTAGAGACACAGTGACCGGTGTTTTGCTGTGTTTTTCTTCTCTCTCTCTCCTCGGTTTTTTCACAATTTTCTCCTTCTTCTTCTCTGTCTTTTTTTTTGTTTTTTTCTTCTTTTCTTTTCTCCTCTCTCTCGTGTTTGGTTTCCTTCTCTCTTTCTTTTTCTCCCTCTCTTTGTGTCTGTTTTTTTTCACTTGCTGCCTCCCCTGCTTTTATAGGCAAAAAACAGGGGAGGGGACGTGGTTGGGGCGGCCACTGTGCAGCTGCTCCTCCACCGTTCTTCAAGCACGTGGAAAGTGGGTTGTGTCGGTGTCTTTTTGAAGTTGAATTGTTGGTAAAAAGATCGGTGAAAACAGAGGAGAAAAACACATTCTCTGCGTGTCCAGGGGAAGAAGATGATGGTACTATTCAAAACGGCACTGTTTTGAGTTTTTTTATGAATAGTGTATATGAATAGTGCATAAAACGGTGTTGTTTTTCCCAAAACGCGTCGTTTCATTTAAATGAGATTTGGCGCCAAAATGCGTCAGATTCAAAATCAAGCCTTCAATTTGGGCGTGTTTTACAATTTGGTCCTTGGTTTTGGATTTCTTCAATTAAGTTCCTAATTGGCCATCAAACTTCAATATTTATGCAATTAAGTCCCTGATTTGACCAAATTAACTCTCAAAAATTATATTTTGACCCCAGAACTTTAATTTCTTCTAATAAAAGCCCAAATTAACTAAAAAATCAAATTTTCTTGCAATCAAAACATCCATAAATTCAATTAAACCTTTATTAAAATTTAATTGAATCCATAAGCATTTTATTTTGGATTTTTCTTCCTAAAATTAATTTTCTTTGTCAACAAGGTTCTCATTAGTTAACAAAATACTGCCAAATTTTAATCTTTGTAATTGTAAACCTCCTCAACTAATTTTTGACCATTTTCTGAACATTCTGACATCCTTTTTTTTTTTATTGTTATTATTATTATTTTTTTTACTGTTATTATTTTTAAATTAGTTATTATTATTTTTATTATTAATTATTTTTCATTTTCTTATTTTTCTATATATATATATATATATTTTTTTTTTTTACGCGAGGACCAAAAAATGGGTTACAACAACCATATTCCTGTAAGGATTACTATTCTTATTTCCAACTTCATGCATGTTGCTAGCACTAGAAGTTGACCCAACCACCCTTTCTACCATGTTTTCGTTAGGAACAAATCATTCTCCATGTGCATACCAACACAAGTAATCCTCTATGAATCCTTTGGTTAGAAGATGCATCATTACAACATCTTAATGCAGAAACTTTAAAATTTTACATTTCCTACATGGACACCTAATACTACCATCAGTAAAATTTCTTGAGATAGATGTTGTGAAATTAATAAAACCCTGAAGACCATTACAATAATTCATCCTCCACAATCCTTAGGGTGAGTCTCGATACATCCATGAACAATCCTTCATGACTTCTATTGAATCTCTATAAAACATAACAAAAATATTGGTTTCTTATGTTAAATATTCATTATCAATTATCCAACAAACTAAAAAAACATTTATGTTAAATATTCATTATCAATTATCTAACAAACTAAAAAAACATTTATGTTAAATATTCATTATCAATTATCAATTATCAACTATCAAAGTTCCTACATATAAATTTACAAAAATCACAACTTCACAATAGAATTGATAACAATTAAAACAGACCCGTTAAACAAGCTATTATTTATTTCATCACAATATATCTAATTCAGTGTAATTCAAACAAAATTTCAACAATTTACAAACAAATATAATTTGACAAAATCTAAAACAAACTACAACAACTATAAAATTATATATTCATACTACACGTTTATTTGACAAATAACAGTCAAACAAATACATATGTTAACAAAATAAATATACTAAAAAGAATTCATATTTAAATGTCAAAACTAAAATGGATAGATTTACTTACAAAAAATGATAAAATGCACAAGAATGGATGTTGTGACCATGTACAAAAGTATAAGAAACTTGAGTGCTTATGTTGAAAAGAGAGGAGAGTTAGCATAGGTGGTTGGCTGTAGTTTGAGAGGGGAGAGGTGGGATGGGAAAGAAGAAGGAGAAATAGAGGAAGAGAGTGTCGGCAGAGTGGCTATATACTGGCTTTTACCAATAGAATCAATGATGGACACATTCTGTTGGTATACCGGTCCATGATTCAGCCGGTGGAAGTGCCACATCATTGTATGACTATCCTGGTTTGAATTTTTCAGTAATTCTATCAGTAAAATTGTCTGTAAAAATCCACGTCATCACACCATTGCAACTTTCCAAAAAAACTGTATCGTCCGTGGCTGATATAGTCATTATACACCAATAGATTTGGAGATAGAATTATGTTGGTAATTCCATTAGTTTTCTTCGATTTTTTGGTAATGGTTATTGAAGCAAACTAACCTAGATTATTAATTAATCAAGTCTCCTGAAGTGTCTAGTGCAAAAAAATGAACCAAAACGTTTTTAGGATACTTGGACATGTAATCTCTCATTTTAACTTGACAACTTGAATTTGATTTCGAAGATTTAATTAGTAGTTTTAATTGAAGTTATTCATAGAGTAGACTATTTGTGTAGGTTTTGTTCAATTTTATACATGGTGTTGATTTTCAAGTTGTCAAGTTCACCAATTATTACACGATAAATGAATACAATGATAGTCGTTTCAAAAAATATAGTTTATTTATTTAGATTTAAGATATTTAAAATTTTAAGTTCATTGATCAGATCAATTTCAAGCACGAGTAAAACACTTTTGTGGGATAAATCAAGCAAGAGGCAAGAGCTCAAAACCTATACGACAAATCGTCGCCACAGGGCTATAATTTCTAGTTTTGTCGGAAATCAGCACGAGTAAAACACTACAATGTGTATTTTTGTGGAATTTTTTAATTAATTCTAACAAATAATCCATATGCTTGCTCCATATAAATTAATGCTCTCCATGCGTTGTTCAACACAAGATCAACAAGACACAATATTGAGATAACTAATACTCATATTCAACAAATATGAAGATCACTAAAGTTCTACGACTCTCTTTCCTTCTCCTTGCCTTCATAGGAACTTCATTTCCTGAGGCCGTTCATGCCAAAGATCCTGCAGCAGTGCTCGATGTCTTCGGTCATGAGGTGCAAGCTGGTGCTCGTTATTTAATCGTAGCCCCCTCGACTGACAATACAACAACTCTTGCAGTCACTATGAATGGCCAGATCTTATGCAATTCAGATGTTATACTTTCCACTTTGAACGAGAGCTTCCCAATAACATTTTCACCAGTTATACAATCCACCGATGGTGTCATCCGCGAAGGAACTCATCTAAATGTGAACTTTGCAGAGCCAATTGCCACGTGCTTCATGGCAGGCGTGACACCCATGTGGAAAATCCGATTCAGTACAACAGCAAAAGGATTCATTGTGACCACTGGAGGTGTTGATCGATTGAATCGGTTTATGATCACCAAGTCTGAAGGTGATAATAGTTTTTACCAGCTTTCTTTTTGTCCAATTTCTGAACCCTTCTGTGAATGCTCATGCGTCCCAGTTGGCGTCAACGGTGACAAGAACTTGGTTCCCGGTGCCGGCCCTCTTCTTGTTATGTTTGAACCAGATGAATAGAGTGCACCAAAAATCGAGAATAAAATGGTGTCAGAATGATATTGAGGGAAGTCGATTGCCTATTATCATGTTTGAACCAGAACTATTATCTACTGCAATCCTGTATGAGGGATCTCGACTGCCTCCTATCATGTGGTGGGCATAAATAAAACTTAAATAAATAAGAAGCTTTTTAGCTTTGGCTTTTCCTTAATTTTCATGTTGTCTCCACACACACTTCGTTTGTTGCTTGATATTGTCACCAGAAATCTGGTTCTTACAATCAATCGAAAATTGTATAGGTTTCAAACTTAAACAATCCCATACTTCTTTATACTTAATTTTTATTAAATAGAATAAAGGTAGTTATTATTAAATAAAATAGAGGTAGTTAGATTCAAACTTGTGACTATTTATTTAATATGATTCTAATATAATATTAAAAAATCATCTAAATCTAAAAGTTTAAATTATTAAATGAGAGAGTTTAATTTTTATCTACATGCTATTGTTTTCTTGCCTATTTTTAGTAGGTTTTCAGGTCCTATATATATGTATTGGGCTAGGTTAATTTCGATATAAAATTCTTTCAATTTTATTGCAATCCGTGTTAAAGGTTGCCACAAATTTTATATTTCTTATGTGTGATTGTTCAATTAATCAATTATATTAATATTAACAAATATTAAAATTTTATTAAAATCCACATATTCTTACATACACAAACTAGATTCAAGTTGGGCCAAATTTTCATATTTTTTTTACGGACAATGTTAATATGTTGACGTACACAAACTAGTGTCCTACATTTTTTTAATAATACTTGTATTGGGCAATTCATTATGTTTATGGAGAAATCTCATGGAATCTATGTGTGCATACACTTATTCCTAGATATAACTTATGATGTTTGATTTGCCTATTTATTTTAATTCACAATAACAACTATTTGTCAATCATGTAGTGAGCCTTATCCATATTAAAGATTTTTTTTTGTTGTGGTTTAGAATAAGAGGAGGCTTAACCACTTACTTAGTCAACAATTCCAATTTATATATGTAATGTGATGTATAATAATTAATGTAAATATTACAATATAGGAGTAATAAACCTTTCTTATATATATGGAAGCCTATAATGTGTAATATCCTATAGTAAGGTGTTCTAAACATAATCTTAAAAATTCATTTCAAATTCAATAATGAATTGATGCCTTGATATTGAATTATAGGTTAGGATTCTTAGACATGAATTGGAGAAAAAAGTATTTGTTGTTAAATTTAAATTAATTCATGTGTGGTATGTAGTTTATGAAAGTATTGTGTGAAGGAAAGTGGGTGATGAATCTGGACGACTCGTTTCCTGATTTTTGGTGAGATTTTAGTAGGAGGATGAGGGAATTAGAATTATGTTCCTTCATAGAAATTGTAGATTTGGATGTTAGCTAACTAAAGAAACTTTTCTTGCTCAATTTAGAGATGTAGAACTTCAGTTATGGGTTATCAACCGAGACTGATCATGATTGATTATGTAGGGCAATAGGATTGATTAGTTGATTAGCAATCTTGACTACCTTAGATGTAGAACTAGGTTCTCCTTCCTTTAGAGAACTTGTAGCCTTGTGTCTTAACTTTCTAACAAGATCAATCTCACTTTAAAATGGAGTTCTACAACTCTAGATATAATTAAATATCTAATGAGTGTTTAGACAATAATAGTTGGATAATAATAATTCAATGTCTAGACAGTAATAATTGGACAGTAATAATTCAATATCTTGACAGTAACAGTTGGACAGTAACAGTTTAATATCTAGACAATAACAATAGGACAGTAATAGTAGACTTTCACGTGAATACTATATATAAGAATATAAAAGAATTGAGTCATATGAACACTTGCACATTGAGATACTAACTCTGAAAATATACATGATATATATGTGTATGTTAATATGAGGAAATGAACATGCATCGAATGTAACATATGAGTAATGGATGAATATGGATTTTCTATAATATCATCTTGAAGGAATCATAACCAAAAACTTCCTTGTGATTCAGGAGAATCAACCAGGATTGGATCTTCTGTTAGGGGAGGTCGTGAGACAGGTAAAACAGGTGCGTGATTTTCCTCCTATTTGCACTTACAAGATTAAACATTGTAAGGTCACCTAGTTCATGCTAGTAAATAAGAGTATTCAAATTAAGAATATGCAAATGAGTGTTAATTGAGTTTAAAAGATTTATAAGCAAAATATAAGTTCTTTGTTAGAATTATTATGGACCCGATAGAAAATTAATACTTTATTTGTATACATTACATGAAAATATATATATTTCTTTATCAACATAATGGTATGTTTATTTATGTAACAAGTCCATCAAATATACAGGGAGATCATTAGTTTAGGACTCTACTTTATCAAACTTATGTAAATATATTTAACTTAACTAAAAGGGAATTAAAGCGTTTATGTAGTATACTTTTGTTTAAACCTTGATGTATTTATAAAATTTAAACATAGCATGTAGTATTTTAGTTATCTTGTAATTAACCTTTTTGAAATGTTTAAGAACACTTATTATGTTGTAATTGCTTTCTTTGTATGTTAGTTTTCCTTTTCTTTTAAATTTTATGATATGATATGTGGATTATGTTTATATTGAACTTACTTGTAGCATATATATGTTTTATAGATTGTACGAGGTGTTGAATTATAATTTTTGATATAAGGTTCGGAATTATGGGACTTTATGATGATGGGTTGATTGAGTAAATTGATTGTAGTCATTAACTTGGGATGTTCTAAATTAAAAAAAATATCAAATTAAGAGAATATGTTGGGATCTTTTAATATTGATCAAGTTATATAGTCGGACTGTTATAGTAACCACCTAGTATTTTGATAACTGGGAACCGTAATTGGTCTTAAAGATCAGGTAAGAGAACCAGTTATGTAAATGGAAGTTATAGCACCCCAAATAAGCCTTATCTAAGCTAAGCTGGATTATTTTATTATCTTATAAAATCAAAGGTTTAGTGGTGTTTTCTAGTTGTTGATTTTAAAATTTTAACAATCTATTATTAGTATCTTATAAAATTATAGAATCCAAGGCAACAGTGTCAAAAACTTGACACGACTAAAAGATTGATGTCTTCTCCCAAGTGCAGGAATGTTGAAGTAATAAATAACCCAACAAGACCGGGGTCGAACCATAGGGAGGTTAATTGTATAAATTACAGCTAACAATAATACAACAATAACAACAACAATAACAATAATAATAATAGTAGCAGCAGTAGTAGTAGTAATACTAATAATAATAGGAATAATAAAAAAAAAAAAAGAAGAAAAAGATGAGAACTTTGAGATGGAATATTAATGTAAGGATTAAACAATGATAATAACAAATGTCAAGGTTAGAGGTTCCACTAATGGTATGTCAAACAAGTATAGTATAAAATCTTATTATTCAATTGAAAATCACACACAAAGAAGGTTCCAATCAGATTATAGATTGTTAATATGATTACATTAGTCATCTTATTCAATTAATGTTAATACTTGTAAATCTCATCAAGCATTCATGTTTATAACTTATGTTAACAACAAATCAAGTTCCTTTCATAGCTCAGTCGGTTATACCATACAGTATGAACTATGAAAGTACCAACCATTTGTTGTACCAAGTGTTATGTTGCTACCTAATTTTTTACCCATGTTTTCATATATTTTTTTAAAAAACAATATAAAAAAATAATAACAAAAAATAATAATAAGGGTTTACATATGGCAATAACATAGAGCATCAGGGCTAAGGAAAGAATATGTCAAGGAGATAATTACTCAATCATATATAATTACTGCAATATAAAATACCATAGATATATGATTTGATTCATGCTGGTTATGGAAAATAATCACTGTAATATAACAGATTTAAGGGTGCCAATCTCCCAGCCCCAGCTTTGTAGAAGTGAAAGAGGAGAGGAGAGGTTGTCGATCGTACCATCCATACGCCTGGCCTGTCGGCGGCGATGCATGTAATGCCCAGCTCCAAATCTAATAGATTTGAAAAAAAAAGGAGAAAAGCAGATCTGAAAGCGAAGAAGAACAACTAAAATGAACTGGCTTTTTGTGATTTGGTTTTTCTTTGTAGGTCACCACTAGTAGAAAAGGAAGAAAAAGTCTAAGGTCCAACCATTTCTGGGCATTTGATAGCGACGACATGTGAATCCACGCACCGCCAGTGATGGCGGCGCATCGAGAAGACGGGCTGCCACTGTTCCTGGTATTCTAGAAGGCTTCCCTGCAGTTGTTTGTACTTTTGTTTTGGGGTGTTTTGTGTAATTTTTGAATTGTTAATGTCTTGTTTGAGTAATTTTAAGTTTTGTTATTCGGTAACATGTAAAGAATGATGGGTAAAAAGTGATAGTGTGTTGTTTGTATTTTTTAAAAAAATCAAAAGGATAAAAAAATTAATTTAATATAGTCAAGTATATAAAGGATAAATAAAATCAAGTTGTATTTTCTGTGAAAATATAAGAACATGTTTCTATTTTTTTTTGTGGGATTTAATAACTAATTTCTTAAAGTCTTAAAAATTTGATTAATATGTGGGTTGTTGACTTTAATTTTGATTAAGGGTGTTTTTTTTGTGTGTTGCATACTGCGAATACCCTAACATGTTTTTTTTTAATTGTTTTAATATAGAAACAATATTGGAAGTTTTGAAAATGTGTTTTCGCATGGATTTCTTAAACACAAAAATTATTTTCTTGCATTTGTGGATTTTACAACATGTTTGTAAACTTCCAAAGGGTGTTGGCCAATATTCTAAACAATATAAAAATCTAATTTTGGGGAAAAATCATCTATTATTCACCAGTAATGCTTGGATAAAGAAATCCTTAAAGGACAAATATCCAAAATATTGTTGGGAATAATTTGTTATTATTCATTATTAATATTTGGATAAAGAAACCCGAAGTGGTAAATATCCAAAATAATTTTCTAGAAATAATAAATGTGCACACATCCTTGAAAGAAGTCTTGATTATAATCAAGGACATTTCAATTTGTTTTACTCCACAATTTACGAGTCGTGACAGTATAAAACACAAAGACAAGAAAAAAAGATTTTTAAAGCACTCAAGATTTCTATTTTTTGTCCTTCCTCTTGGCGATTTATGAGTCGCAAACTCTTGAAATATCAAGGGAAAAATGAGCTTGTACAGCACATCGAATCTCCTTGGATTTCTTTCTCAATAAATTTAGTTAGAATCAAATCGACAAAAAAACTGATGGGATTAGAAAACACCAACACCATAGCAATTATAAGACAAACCAAACACCAAGTAGGTTACCTTAGGTAAGGCGTACTAGGGGTGGCAACACCTTCCCTTTACCCAACCCCTTGCCTTAGAATCTCTGAAAGACCAGTTAGGTTTTTTAGTGACTATAGTACTAGGTGGCGACTTCCTTTTACACAAAAATAAAACTAAGAGACCCCGGAATCAATTGTTGGTCTCCGCGACGCCGCGCTCCGCTCGCGAGGGTGCGACATGTTATACAACATAAATCAAGAATAATCATTTAACAGGCAAAGTATTAAAGAGTGAACAAGATAACAAATACAAAACATGTTAGTATTAAACATTAAAGTCAATTTTGAGTTTACATTATACTTATTCTGACACCATTAATGTAAACTTTTCACCTTGACATAATAAAATTAGCTAAACATAATGAAAGAAAAAAAACAAAATAAGAATATAAATAAGATAAGAGTTAACTAAGTAAATGAAAGGAAATGAAAGGCATAAACTTCATATTAATGAAAGTAAAGTATAAACATTACAAAAAATACAAAGAGAGAAAGCAAGAGCATGATCTTGATCTGAAAACCAAGATCCCTAAATACAAGCCAAATGCCTCTTTTTATAGGCCAAAATTAGGAATTATTGATTTGATGATTAATTGATGAGTGGGTGACTAACTCTTGACTTGGTGACAATCCTTATCTTCTCTTGTCTGCCCAAAACGTCATTGATAACGTCAAAATTGGAGCCACTTGAAAACATGAAAGTTGTAGGAAATTATCTTAGCTTTCTTGTATAAAAGATTCAGGTTGTTTGGACTTCTAGAACTCCAGATATGGACCAAACACTGAATAATGCTCAGGTTGGAAGACAGATTCAGACTTGATATAAAACCTTGATAAAAATACACTTCTAAGTGCTAATCACACCCTCCAACCAGCTTATTACTAGTCCCTAGTAATCAAAGTGTTAAAATAAAAAAAGAATTTGTAAATTCCACAAGTCAAAGTATTCATCATTCAACTTCCATTAATCTATCTAGATAATCAAACTCTCATTAAATTTATATATTTGCTCAATACCTCTTAACAAGATATTAATAAACCTTTATTTTATGCTCAATATATCAACATATAATTATGGGGATTTTCTTGGAAGAAAATAAAATTGATGTTTTAATTTTTAAGGTTAACTTCCTTGAGCTGAGATTAATATTTTTTTTTTTAAAATATATATACATATAACTTAAAACACCATGCATCTTTAACCCATATAACGAGCTTTCGGCTAATGACTCCTAAACTAGTTAGTCTTAGGGCATTAGGTGTTGAGACACCCCTACGAGCTTAGTAACTCGGGTCATAGATACTGATATGTAGATAATCCGATATTTGATTCAATTCAAAAGACACAAAGATGCACAAATGAAGACTCAAATCTAATCTAAGCTTTTTACAGCTTTTCTTAGTTGACCAATTTATGCGACTCATGGAGAGATTAATTACAGGAATGAAATATTGTAGTTAGTCAATCAATTGTTCAGCAGTAGCAGCAAAGATTATGATTTGTTGTGCAAAAGATGTTAGAAATTCTTATTCCATAACATGATCAAGAAAAGACAACTTATCATAATAACCATTAACATTTAATAAACCTATGAGTTTATGGTGAATGTGTAGTTGGGCCCAAAAGAAAATATGAAAGATCTCTTCCAATATGCCTAGACCACCTGGTAAAGTAATGAAGGCATCAACATGGTTAAACACACTTCTACACACTTGTATATTTGTTGAAAGTATGGGTTGATTAGAAATGAAAGGAAGAAAGAGAGGATTTTATAGATGAGAAATTAAAAAGGCAATCATACTGCCTATATGTAGGTCAGCTGGAGTCACACACACACTCTCTCTCTCTCTCTCTCTTTTTGAAAAGCATATGTATGCATGGGTAGTTATGATTATAGCTCATAACTTCCCTTGGTTTTACATCTAAGAATGGCTTAAATGCCCTCTATGGGTTAAGGATAAGCTTCCCATCTAATTTTCTTAAAAACTGGCAAACAAGGTCTTTTTTAGTTAGATTCTCAAGACTAAGTCGATCATGTTCTTTATGAAATAATAACGATAAATCATGAATTGCACGATGCACATCTCCACTAGGATGCGTCTCAAGAGTGAATATAAGATTATTTAAAGACTCCTTACTTAGGTCATCCTTAATAAATTGTATTTTATCTTCACAGTTTATAAATACCATTTCTAAAAAACAACATTGTGCATTACAAGTCCATCTGCACATTGATAACAGACTTTCAGTCGTTTGTCACAACGTTTCTTATTTAACAATCGTTTAACATTGTTTGTAATGTTTATAATGTTTAACCAAGATTATTATTATTATTACTAATCACATCTTCTTAAGGGAATCAAACATTGCACTATCTACGTATCATTATCTGTGACTCGAGTTACTAAGCCAAAGGGCATTCTATAATTTGTACAAAATTGCTTGAACACTTTTTATGATCGGCTTGTTTTAACCCGCAAGTTCATAAGTGTGCATTGCAGCAATTAATTCGGTAAGATCGAGGTCATATCCACAGAGAGCTAGATCTTGAAAATAAGCTAGGTAACAAAAAAAACTCAAGAGAAATTAAATTAACAATAACTTAGTTGAAAATAATTAATGGATTTGTTTTCAAAGATGAAAACGTGTAAATATATTTTAAATGACAACAAAAAGTAAGTCTTGGTTCAAATCAGTTTTAATGGTGATGTATTGGTGATTCCTTCAAGATATATAAGATAACTCAACCTAATATCAATGATGGTGATATTAGATCGAAAGATATTACAATGAAGTTTAAAAAGATGAAGATTGATTATTGCTTAAGAATGAACAAGTACTTTCATATTAAGTAAGACATTGAATTAAGCAATCTCTATACCAAAACTAAAGTTTGTGCATAAAAATTCAAAATTATAACATTACCTAAATGATTTCTAAAATTTCCTTGCAATAATAAAACATTCATGAAGAAAATGAGAACATAAACATTAAGATTCATTCATATCTTAAAGAACTCACCTCAACCACCATCATCCTTGATTTGGATCCAAGAAAAAGATTAGCCAACCATGATTATGTATAAGAACACTTTAAGAAACATGAAATAACTTGAATCAAACTGAAACAATAAGTTTTACAAGCTAAAGAACTGAAATCTACAAAGAACAACACAACATAATTTCAATAAAAATTCAAACACAAATATGATTCTAACTTTGGACAACAATTTAGACCCTCCTATAAGAATTTTTTGAACATCTCTATTAGAGATATATTTATAAGAAATTTTGTCACCTTTCTAGATCATTAAGGAAAAGATCATTTGGACACTTAAATCAAAACTTATGGGCAAAACACTGAAAGGTGTTCTGAACCAAGATTTGCTTCAAACTTGAACTAAATTTCTCTTCAATTCTTTGTTTTGAATTCCGACATTAAATTTTTTGACGTAATCCGTTTAAGCTCCAAAAACTTAGCAAAACATTTAAAAAAACTTCGTTACTAAAAAGCACATCAATTAGTATAAAAACCAATTAAAAATAATAAATACATATGTAAAATAAGAGACTTAATGATACTTTTGATGCATAATCACACCCCCCAACTTAGATTTTGTTGGTCCTCAAGCAAAACAAAACATAAAACCTTTGAAATAAAAAGAATAATAACTATAATTAGGCTCGATTCATCACATTTGTAGGACCTATCATGCAATCATTAGTATCTTCAACTTAGTGTATACATAATAGCAAATAAAAAAAATAAACATACTCAGATTCTCTAAATCAAATATCCATACAAAATTCTAAATTCAATCGTATTTATCATACAACCAACATAATTGATTCACGTGAAAACTCAACTTGTGATCTTCCCTTCTCACTACTACAAACAAGGTAGCAAACTAGAGAGATATCTATATTTTTTTCTTTTTTTCTTTTATTTTTTTTTGAAGATATTATTTATTCTTTGTCTTTAAGTGGTCACTTTTCTTTTGATGCGAATACAAATATTTGTGATGAATGCACCAGGTTACTCACAAA